ATTCTTTCGAAAACATACCACACGGTACGAGTGTAACTCAGAGAGGAATACAAACACATAAGTAAACGCCTTTATGCATAGGAAAATTTGTTATAATTTCCTATGATTCGCATTTCATTAGAAGGTTTTATTGGACAAAGATAAACAAAAATAAATAAAAGATTTTTCAATAGTTGATTATATTAAATGTAGGAAATTATATCCAAAGACGAAATCTTGATAATTCTATGTCAAGTCTACTATGAGGAAAACATTTTTGAACCATAGAACGATATGGTGCGAGTTTTCCAAGATCGATTTTTCCATGAATATCAAGAAAAACAAATTGTTTCAATCGTTCAAATAATTGACGAAGATCTTTTTCAAAAACATTTACATGTTGAGCTAAACAAAAAAGATCACTTTTTTTAATCCACATTTATTATTTTTATTTACGTATCAATCGATTCAGATGTTTGTAAAGACTCTGTCCATCGTAAAGTATCAATGTAATGAAAATATCCTGGCTTAATATCTGGTCGAACTAAAAGCAAACAATAATTTGCATTTATGGTTGTAAGAAAATTATTTCCTAGTCATAATTGATAGTAATAAAGCTGAAAAGAGAAGGCTTAAAGGTGTATCTTTTTGTTAAATTAATAAATCGAAAAACGAAAATGTAAGGTTTTTGTATACTGCATAAATATATGAACTATGTTCATAGTTCTGAACAAAAATAATTATTAAAGTTTTGATCATATAGGTCAAACCAATTATCTCAAACTCTATCGAAGGTAAAAATGTCGAAAATTGAGTTGAAAACTGTTGAATACTTTCCATCCGAAAATTAGAAAAAAATTAAGTAGCTCACGAGGAAACCTTCTGAGATGCCTTTCCTCCTTGGAACCCAATAAATTGTTATCTACAGATATTACATAGTGTTGTAGTAAGAGCTAGTCGAATCCTATCTGAATCTGACTAAGTATAAATCCAACATTTCAATTTTTGTTAAGTCGATTCCACATTATTGTGAACCGCAGCTCTCTAATAGGATAGTATCAAGGTGCAGAAAAAAGCTTATCTGGTACACATCCAACTTTTATCTAAAATAAACTTACTAGATGTCCAAGGAAAATCATCTGGTCGCCAAAGATGTAATGTTTGTAGATGAGGCATATGAGTACTGAGGAAAGATACCAGATTTTTTCCAATATGAATCGAATCATTAGAACCATAATGGCAACTAGGAATACCAAATTCAGCACACCGAACAGAATTCAATGCGTTTGTTTTTAAATCAGTTGATGCCTAAAAATACAAGGAAAAAATGTATACATACATAATAGAAAATTAGAAATATTTTGAAACTAATTAGTTTAATAAATTGAACATTAATATTGAAATGAATAATTAATATATGGATTAAAAGTATTGAATAGTTTTCTTTATTCTTTATATTATATATGGAAATCTTTACTGAAATATAATGGCAATTTTTGTTTACCCGTTTATTTCGAACAAGTTATTCTTTCATTTTAATATCTGAAAACAATATTACATTATGCCATGTACAAGATAAAAGCAAATTTTATTCTGAAATTCAATGTAAGCTGACGAATATAATAAATACTTACGTATTGAACAATATGATAAAGCCATTCGATTTTTTCAATAAGAAGATATTTAAGTTGAACTGGCATTGAAATAAGATGAGCAAATATTTTTGCACGTGCTTTATTTATGTCTATTGATGTATTACGACTTTCTAGAAAAAAATTTATTGAAGGTGAAGTATTTATCATAGGATAGCGAATCGTTTGTTGGAATTTTTTCTAACAAATGCATATTTGAGTCGCTTGGTAAAACGACATATTATGTTTTCAGTAATGAGTGATAAAAATTTTCTGTCAAACCAGGCCATGAGTTTTAGAAGTAAAAATCAAGAGTTCCTCTACATTTTTGCTCAAAACATCATTTTATTCGTAATTACGGTACTCTATATTTATTGCCATGTATGGGTATGAATTTTTGCAACTGGATCAGGATCGACACTAGTTTTTCATATCTGATATCTGACTCGATTCCAAGACACTACAGTGACGATGCTTGGAAAAAAACTCTTAAACATTTCAGCAAGTTCATTCGTGAGTGACTTCATTCCAAAAAAGTATTAAATATGTCATGATTTTGTATTAGATTAACATTAGAAATCTACTAAAGATGTGAAACACAGTAAAGAAAACCTCCTATTCACATTTGCGAAAATTCGGAAATCTTAGTGTAAGGCAAGTGTATAGGAAATGAGCAAATTGTACTCTGCAAGATCCTTCATACGAGAACGAATTTCCTTCGTTTAAAAGAAAACTAAGAGTTAACGATAAATCAATCTATTTAATATTTGATACCATTTTTTTTAAGGTCAGCACGTAAAATAACTTTCTACTATGCCTGAAAAATCCTAACACAGAAAATGAACTTTTATTGTAAGATGGTTTTATATTCTGTGAAAGAAGCAACATTATCGATTTCTTTTCGTTTATTTTCCTTGGATGAATTTAACGGAGAGATATTCATAGGTAAACTTTTACATGAGCCATTGCTATAAAACAAAAACAGAAGGAGAATTGTTTATTAAAACTCATCTATATGGCTTTCATAATCATATTTTGAATAAGTATATGACAAATACTTAATATTTGAGTATTCGATAAAATTGATCGAAGTAAAAAAATTGAGACATACTAATCATAGGACTTTGACAAAATCCCAAGTCAAGTCTTGTTACATTTTGAAGTTGAATATCGATCACTTTACGTTGACCTATTTCGAATGGTATTCTTAATAACACTGCCAAGTCAGACTGATCAGCATCTCTATAACATTCTAAAGAATAAAAAGACAATTGATTAATATATATTATTATTTTCTTCAAATCTATTGGTGTCGATTGTTTTCAGTAATGACGAGAGTTAAATTATCGGCAAAAAGGGCTAACATTTTCATAGTGGAAAAAATAGTGAGCGGAAGAGGAAAGGACACCGGCTGTTATAGCTAAGGTCTCGTTATACTATATAAAATATTTATGAATTGAACTTCTGAAGTATCAAGTAAAGAAATATATCCTACAATCAGCAGAATAAAACTATTTCCCTGTAATGACGAACACGAGTAGCCTTCTCCTCCAATCACCATTTCTGATACTTCAAGAAAGAGAGTACTTTTTCTAGCAAAGTTTTCGATCTTCCTTTCCTCATTCTTAAATTCGACAATCCTGTATATGAGCTACATCATGTCTCATATTTTAATCCTCTAGAGATTGTGATAGAAGCTTCTGTTTTCATTAATTAGACAAAACTAAAATCTTAACCTGTATAAACTTTAATATGAGAAACATTTGGATATATTTCATCAAGTCGTTCAAGAAACAAATAAAGAGATGGATAAAAATCAATCGAAATATCCTGAATATGTGGCCAAGTAAAAATATTTCCAAGAAAACTAAAAGAAAAAAAATATATTAAAAAAAATGAGCTAGACATGTTCTTATAGAACAGTTTATCTTACTGTAAGCCATTCATAAACTGAAGTGTATTAACAGTAGAAGAAGAAAGATGTTGATATGACATTAATGGATCATAGAAACAAATTACATTTGTCCATTGATGATTAAGAAAAAATTGATGAATTTTAAATGAATTTATTATTTTTTCAATGTTATTCAACAATAATTGACATTCGGAAACAATATAAAATTGAAAATCTGTCATATTAATTATGACATCAGACATACAATATTGACGAATAAAATCTGCATCAACAACATATTCTTTAATTATTATATCTGAGGATGAATACATTTTATAAATTTGAAGATGAAGTTTAAATTTTCGGATATGATTTAAATTATTAAGCAACCATTTCAAATAAGAAAATTCTAAATGCTTCTTAACGAAAACTTTTAAAGTAAAGTAGTTCATTTTTGGTACCTAAAACGAGTAGAAAAAAAAATCATTCTTTGAATAAATTTTTCCTATTAGAAACCGATTTTCTCGAAGGTTGATGTTTACAAAATTTATACTTTTTAAAACTAAATAGTTATGATTGTCAAAAACAGATTTCTAGTTTAATTTTCTCCGAATTTTCTAGCACATGTTCCAAAGAGATGTTCATGATGCAGTTTGTATTGTAATAGAAGCGCACAGTAGAAAATGTCGAACAATGACAATAGGTCTTTTTTTCATAGATTCAATCAGGTTGAAATAGTATTATATGACAATACTCATTAACAGGCAGATTCGAACCATATAGAATATATATGTGAACCGCTTTAAAGGAAGTAGCTGCAGGATTTATATTGACAAAAAAAAATGATAGTCGAATATCTCGAAATTTGTTTAACGATTTCAACAAAAATAAAAAGGGAATCATAATGAATTCATCTTACCTTTTCAAACTAGTTTCCGTTAGATTTTATTAATGTTTCAATAGTGGACTTGGATCGAGGTTCAAAATCCATTTGACGTTTAAAAGTGACTGATAATCGTTCAATATTGGGTATATACTCAATAAGTTGTTCAAGAAAATATGTATATTTAAGACAAATATATAAATGCCGAAGCGTCAAACAACAATATTGCGCTTCATTAAATATTGAGCTCGAAGATGGATGAGGAGATAGTGTTAAACATTGATGAATATTAATAGGAGAATTATCATCAGCAATATCGAATCGAAGACATGTTAATTGAGATTTATTAGAAAAAAATTGACGTATCAGCTGTTTAAACATCATTACTGATTTCCCTAATTTACATGAACGAAAAAAGAAAGTAAATATTTCGAATAAGTAAAGATAATGTTTGAATTAATGATTCAGATAATAAACATCGAGTTATCTTCAGTGATTTAAGATTAGAAAAATACAGATTTTGTTTATCATTATTATAAAAAAGAAATTCATCAATAACATTGTAAGAATTTGAATTTGTTCCATCAAAATGAAAATATTTAAATAAAGAAGAAAGATATGGAGAATTACGAATTAATGGTAATAAAAAGAATGAAAACTTTTTATACGATAAATCTAGTTGATTAAAACTAATTTCATATTTATCTATTGAAAATATTGCATAAATAAGCCAATTTATACGTCTATTTAATGACCAAAATGATATTAAGATTTTATCCCATGATAAATAACCAAATATATTCAGTAATATTTCATTTGGTATTGTTTCGAATTTACTTATCATTTTATCTTAAAATAAAAACAAATAAAACCATATATTTTTTACTATGCGAAATACGATCTGAAAGAAGTGTTGAAATTAGGGAGTTACTAAATCTAATGTTTTGAATTCCAGGCTGCGCTTGACCACGTCATGATCAGAGTCTTTCTGTTTAATACTATGTTTTATTATTCACATATAACTATTACCAATAAGTAGAAATTCTTACATGAAAATATATATACTGATTAATTATTTTATATATAATAAACTTTTTTTTCATGTTCAACTCTATATAACAAAATATTTAAGCGATAAAATGGATATATTTGTTATGAAATGTATATTTTTCTATCTCTACACATACTATTCATTAATGAATATTAAAGACCATAATGAAATGAGCAATTAAGTTGAACGTTCGAATCGAAGATTATTTTTTCATAGCAAAAGATACCTTTGTAACGAGTCAAGCATTTTTTAAGTGGTCGGGTCACAAAAAATCTTTGAGATCGATTAAACAGTTGGTTTGACCTTTTTCAATGATCAATATGTAATATTTGTACACATAGCACGAAAAAAGTCATTTATTCATTAAGCGATTGCTTGTTGTCAAATCTAAGATTTTTGTTACTTAGTCTTATCACATGATAATCCATACATGAATTTAATTTTTATCAAAATCTGGATGATACAAGTTTCGCTTGAGTAACACAGTTTTCGATTGTACTTTTCTTTAAACAATGAAATAAATTTCGATTAAAAAATATAGTCAAATAGAAGAAATTTAATGATTCTTGAAAAAACATAGTTTGATTATTCTGATAAGAATCAATAAACTTTATTTCAGAAAAATCGAATATCTATCCAGTATTTTTTTAAAACGATAAAAATAGATCGGCCTAATCATTTTAATTGCTCCGATCTAGTTGGACAGCACCAGTTACTACTGCGACATAGAGAAAGACAGAAAATGAAGAAGTTCTCCCTGTTTCAACCTTCGATATGAATCAATAAGAGACATGGAGTCACCTTATTGATCCTGAAAAATTTTGAACATGAAGACAATCATGTCTAACAGTTTCAAAACTAATATCACGATAATAAATAAAAATTAGCATTACAAATATTTTCTTTTTAAATGATATAATTATTATTCAAAAACAAAATAAATTTTTAGTCTATTGTTGAAAACAATCTCAAATATTTTACTCACCAGTATATAGTTTTTCATTGAAATATGAAATAAATGAATATAATAATCATTTTAATTTAAACAAGGCAAAAAACGATAATTTTTATTGTGAAGCTCAATCTATGTAAAAAGAAAAAGAAAAGAAAAGACAATAACAGTCTTTTTTTCTTTCTTCCATATTTTTAATTTTAGAAAGAAGAACAAACGCCAATCATATCATAGAGTGGTCATTAATCAAATGGTGGCGCATCTAGCCTAATATGGCTGACAAAAATGTATCATCATTCATAAATTTTTTCCTGATGAAACAACTCGACATATATATGGCGGAACACACCATGAATGTTTCTTTTCTTCATTGTAATATTGCCGTCTTTCAATATTGATCTAAAGGAACAAGACGAAGATTACAATTGTAATGAACAATGTGGAAAAAAATAATAAACAAGGATCTTTTTTTTTGTTCTTTTGTCTATATATCTATAGTTTATACAGTCTTTAAGTTAACTGTTCAGAAAAAATATCATCCATTGAGATTTCTAAACGATATTGTTGATGTTAAAAATGTTCTAATCATACTTGGCATGATTCTTCATAATGTCTATAACCATTCAATAGTTTTTCGAATATTGAAAAATTTGATATTTTTTATTAACTTTATTATCACACTAATTCACTATCAGTCTTTTGCCTGATTTGGTAGAATTGTTTTTGTTTCTCTCACTAATGTTGCACCACAAGTCTCTTCAATGACACCTATTTATCCATCCACACTCGTACCTTACTCACACATTCTTGGATGGACTAGATCTCAGTTGAATTAGTTGGGTGAATTTACATGCTAATTTTCAGTGATTCTAAAGCTTTAACTCAAACCATAGACGATAAGTTGAAAGAAATTTTGACTACTGCTACTACATGAAACAAGTCGAAAGTAACCATGATAATGTTCCACCAAAACATTCCGATGTATGTTCACCAACTATTCAATAAGCCACAAACCCACCAAAGCCTATTGCCTACAACTATTCTCGAACAACCATTGAATATAAGAGACATAAATTTAACTAACATAATCCTTACGGCTAACCTTATATCAAAAGGTCAAAGGACGCCGAAATGTTTCACTAGAAGATCTACACTTAATTTTAAGAAAATAGATCGTTCTCAGAAGGATGTGGGTATCAATATGATTCTTTATTACAGATCCATACCCACACCCATCATAGATGCTAAAGTCAATGTAATTGATTTGAAGATTATATTAAAGACAAACTAGATATAATTGTAAAAATAGTATAAGTAAAATATATTATTGGTGTACATAATGTCACTTTGCAACTACTTCTTCAATGCAGATAAGTAAAATATTGTCTCGAGCTACTAATTTATTTCTTTGATCAGTAGTTTTTTAATAATAATTTTAAATAAAAAAGATAGAAGATTCATTATTATTTACAAAAATTAGATAAAAACACAATAGATTGTCATAAATTAGAGTTGGAGATAACGAACACAAAATGTATTGTTTTTTTTTTGTTAATAATTAGTAATAGTTACCTCGTTTAAATATAAATTATCTTATCGATAAAGCAAATTCAAACTAAATAACGTCATTATCATCACAGTTTGTACAATGCCAAGATAAATAGTTCGATAAGACTAATATAGTGGATATATTTATTTCCTTTGAAAAGTTGTAAAAATAAATGATATATTATAAAATACGAATCGTTAATATCTTCCTAATCATCAGCTTCTGTAGTGCAACACAAGCAGATAGTTCATGTAGTTTTGAACATCCAACCAAAAGTGTTATTAATCTGGTATCGATTGGTTTAAGAAATGGTCAACCTCGCTATCGTGATTTATCCTCCCCTTCAGGTTCTTATTATACGTATTCATTCAATCCATGTTATCCATTCGTAGAAAGTCATTGCCATAATGCAGCTGTTTGTCAAAGTAGATACACAAAGAAATTTTTAATTAAATGAATTATTGAATTCATTAATATAGTATTGCTAGTGTCATCTGATCGACAATTTTCGTATACATTAGCTATACAGAATGTCTCTACATGACCAATGGATTCAAACATGTCATCTGCTCTTACATAAATTTATGGTGAAAAAGTAGTTTCTATAACAATGATTTGTTTATCTCTTCTTCAAGATAAACTCGAAATACTTGGTGAATATGCTGTTAATCGTTATTCTATGCGTTTAAGATCACACTGTACTTGCTGAAATGAATGTGTTAGACTTGAGCCAAGTTCCACTACTCACAATACAATTTTCTTTTTTGTTTTATAATGAAAACTATTCAAATGAAACTTCTAATTTTTCAATTATATAGAAACATTACCAGTGACGACAAAGTCAATATATTACAATGCATACAAATATCATGATCCTCGATATGGTATGATTGATTT